AGCGCCGTCGGATACGTGAGGCGGACTGGCTATCCTTCACGGGATCTCTATCGTTCCAGTCGTCACCCTCTTATGTATGGAATCGGATTAATGCTATACGGGGTACTCGACGGAGGCCTCCTCCCCACCCTGACCCCGCCTCCCTTGCCTGCTCTTTAATGGAGGACTGGGCACGAGCTTCCTCCCCTGAGGCACTTCCAGATCCAATGCAGGAGGCAGTGCAGGCCCGCATCGATGCGTCTGAGCCTGTTGTTCGTGCTGCTCTTACCTCCCCTGCCCCCACTGATCATCCCATCACACAGTTCGAGCTTGACAGTGCTCGTCGCTCTAGAAAAGACACCTCTCCTGGGGATGATCAGATAACCTACTCCGTCCTCAACGCCTGTACTAATATTCCTAACGGCCCCTTGCTTGCTCTCTACAATATGTCTTATGAACATGGGGTTCTCCCGTCCAACTGGAAAAATGCCACTATTATCCCCATCCCTAAGCCGGGAGATCCTGGGAAATATCGACCCATTAGTCTTACCTCCTGTGTTTGCAAGATGATGGAGAGGATACTCCATCGTCGCCTTCTTCACACCATAGGCGGCTTCCACAACTCCCTCAATGGTTTCATTCAACATCGCAGCACAGCACACTCCATTGCTTCCTTTTATTGCAATCAGACTGCCCGCGTCTCCGTCTTCCTTGATATCAAGGGAGCCTTTGATACGGCTCAGCCTGCCCTCATTTTAGCTGAACTTGCACGGTTAGGGGTTAAAGGGAGACTTCTACAATGGATCGCCTCTTACCTCACTGGACGTCAGGCCCGGGTTCGCGTTGAAGGCTCTATGTCTCCTGTTCAAGAAATGAACCTCGGCACCCCTCAAGGTGGAGTCCTGAGTCCCACCTTGTTTAACACTCTCATGCACTCCATTGCATCACTCCCGTGGCCGACAGAAGTTGTCCACTCAGGATATGCCGACGATGTCCTCCTCCAAGCCCCTGACTACCTCAGCATGCAGGAAGCCCTTGATCTGGTCTCCAGAGAGTGTGATTCACTTGGTTTCCTTCTTTCAACTGCGAAAACAAAAGCCATGTGGCACGGTCGTGTTGTACCTCCACCCCTTTTCTTATCAGGAACGCCCTTGGACTGGGTTAATGAGACAAAATACCTGGGTGTGTATGTAACTCGCACACGTTGTCAGATCCCTGAAGTCCGCTATCTTCGAGACATATGTTTTCGGCGTCTCGCTCCCCTCTCTACCATGTGCAGGGGTTCCCTTGGTGCCAGCATCCCTGTACTTCTCACCATGTACAAGTCTTTTGTCCGTTCCTGTGTCGACTACGCCGCCCCTGCCCTCGTCAACATTAGTCGGACTGCTGTCAACCGTCTCGAAGTTATCCAGAGGAAAGCTGCTCGTATCATCCTTGGGGCTCCTCAGTGGACACGCTCTACTTCTCTATATACCGAACTTGGTCTTTCCCCCTTACAGGATCGTGTCCAGGAGTTTTACCTAAAAACTGCCGTTTCCATTCTACGGGATCCTCGGGGCAACTATGTCCAAACCAACTTGACTACTGCTGTCCGAGACCGACCTCCATCTAGAAGACAGTGGCGAGGGTCACTCATCCGAGCCCTTCAGGAACACGACCTCCTGCCTGATATTGTTGTCACCCCTGCTGTTGGTTCGTCTCCTTCTCCCTGGCTGGATTTTCAACCTGAAGTGATTGCCCTCGGTGGACCGCTCCCGAAATCCCAGGTGAACCCTGTTATTCTCTGCAAATACCACCTCTCCAGGATCGCTCACTGGTCCCCAGGTAGGGTCGTCCTCTACACTGATGGTTCTGTTGACCCCGCTACAGGTAGGGCCGGGGCTGGTGTCTACATCTCCCGTCCTCATGCCCCTGAGCCTATCAAACTGTCTCTCAGAGTTTCTGACGGGGCATCCTCCACTCAGGCTGAACTAATAGCCCTCCTTGCTGCCCTTCTCGCTGAGGAAGAAGCAGATGGTTTCTGCCCCTTGCTTGTCTGCTGCGATTCCAGGTCTGCTCTCGACGGGATCGCATTTGGATCTGGGGAAAATAAGGACCTCATCCTCCGAATACGAGGGTTAACATCCACACTTCAGGATGAAGGCCGTCCTGTGACATTCCTATGGATACCTAGTCATGTCGGTATCTTGGGGAATGAGGCAGCAGATGACCTTGCCAAGACTGGCTGCAACAAGGCCACACCTGACTACGTTGTTCCTCGAACACTCTTTCAGATTAGGACCCAAATCCGCCGCAAACAGAGAGAAGCTCGGGAAGCAGCCATCCCCCTGGACTCCCCGCCCACATGGTACGATGTCCTCCGTAAACTTCCTGACTTCTCGTACGTCTACGGGAAAGGGTCGCGGAAGGGGGACGTGATTGCTGCCCGTATCATCATTGGGTATGACTTTGCTTGGGAGATTGGTATCCCCACATCCCCTGAGCAACGCTCTTGTGCGTTATGCAGAAGACCCGACAGCCGCACCCTTATCCACTACCTCCTAAGATGTCCCCACACACAACGCTTCCGTGACGCCTGCTGGACCACCACTCCACGACCCCCTGACGGAGACACGATGATCCTCCCAATACTGGCCAGATATTTTGTAAATAATATTAATTATGTGTTAAAGGAACATCCTTCCTTCCTTAGGCTTTAGTAAGCCCCTTTATAATATTTATACTGTATATACTTTTCACACTTGCCAGATGATTCTGGTGTCATTGTACAGGGGTACCTAGTGACAGCACTAGGATCCCGCTTCCTCTATCAAGGAATAAACAATTGAAATTGAAATTGAAATTGAACTATCAACCAGGAGCAAACTCGTAACAATGGTTTTAAATTAGACAAATTTAGATTTAGGTGTGAAATAGGTAAACACTGGTTTGGAAACAGAGTAGTGGATGAATGGAACAAGTTACCAAATATCATCATTAACTCGAATACGCTGAATAGCTTCAAACATAGGTTGGATGCTTATATGAGCAATAGGGGTTGGGTGTAAACGGGACTGCCCAGTATGGGCCAATAGGCCCGCTGCAGTTTCCTCCATTCTTATGTTCTTATGCACTGGCTCCTGAATGTATCTGAACCTGCTCCAGTGCTTGTCAAGTCTGGTTTTGAAAAAGCTCACACTCAGTGCTCTTCGAGATGCTTATACACCTCAGATAGGTCTACCCTTGTCCGTCTGTAGTAGAAGCTAGGCAATTGCAGGCACTCTAATCTCTCTAGGTAGCTGAGGTGCCGAAGTGCCGGCACCAGTCAACTGATAGACTCAAGCATAACTCGGGGGCCAGACAGTAACAGTACTCCAGGCGGGGAAGCATCTCACTCTTGAAGATCGTTACAAGGGATGGACCATCTAGGTATCTGAACGACCTTCTTATAGGACCTAATAATTTAGTTGCTTGGTTCACCTTCTCACAATGGCCCGAGAACTTCAGTTCATTGTCAACATTCACATGAAGGACATTTCGCATTCATTCTCAATAAATGCAGTTTCTTTATCCCGTTGGGACACATGATAAGCCTCCTTACCGTTGGTGCGACCCAGGTGCAGCGTCTTACATTTCGTGACATTAAATCTTAGTAGCCATTTCTTCGACCATTCTTAAAGCTTACAGAGATCTTTCTGCAACTTTTCACAGTCTGCTTGGTTCTTAATTTCCCTAAATAACTTGGCATCGTCCACAAACATTTGTATGGAGGATTGTACAGCTTCTGGCATGTCATTAATAAGCAAACACACAACATGAGACCCAATACACTGCCCTGTGGTACCTCGCTTGTCACGGGTACATATGTTGATTTCGTGCCATTAATCATCACACACTGCTTGCGATCATAGAGGAAGTCTCCGATCCACGCTAGGACACTCCCTCTAATCCCGTCCCCTTCCAGTTTAATTTTCAGCCTTTAATGAGGTACGCTGTCGAAAGCCTTGGCAAAATCTAGTTATGTATTGTCGATATTGCCACCCTGTTGCACCCTGGCATAAAACCATGTTGGTAATCCTTTACAAGGTTGTTTCATAGTAGATGTTCCATCATGGCATCTCTTATAATGCCCTGAAGTGCTTTATACACTATGCTGGTCAGGCTCACTGGTCTATAATTATTCATGGAGTGTCAATCGCCCTTTTTGAAAATAGGACTCACATTGACAATTTATTTCTCATAACCTCTTCTGAGAACACAATGTAGGTCAGCGCTGTGTTGAACCATGTCCCCAAAAGCAGGAAGATTGTTCTCATCCTCCATTGTGAACTCTGAGGAAAAGAAACTGTTCAATGCCTCCGCTTTGTCCTGGTCAGAATCTGCGTAACTACCATCTTCAAGCCTCAGGTTCGAAGTAGGTAGCTAGTTTCTCAGACATTCTGGAGCATGAATTTGCATTTTCTTCTAATTGTTTATGTCTCACATGTGATGATCTTGCTGAGTTTGTGACCTTGGCTCAACAGCCATGATTGTCTACTTTACAGGATAAAAGGTTAGCTTTAGGTTCCATTTCTAATCCAACTCTTGGCCCTGGTATTGCCATAATATGCTTTTATGTTTTTTTTTGATAAAGATCTCATGTTTATCTCAGGTAAACTAAAAAGATGAACATGTGTACCTATATACACTTTGTTCTCTTGCTGAAACATGTTGGTAGTTTTGTATTGACAAAGAATGATACTCATCCACTTTTCAAAGGCAGTTGTTTATCATAGGGACTAGCTCTGCACTTCAATCATTCCTTGAACCATCTGAAATCTACACACTTATGGTAAGTTGAATAAAATTCACTGCTAGTACATATCTTGTTTACAAAGTTGTACACAATCATGTTCAAACACATACAGATGCTAGTCATTACTATATCCCCCTCTGTGGGTACCCGGTATAGTGAATGACCCAAAAATACAGTATTGCACTATATAGTTCGAATAATCATATAGATGTCATCATAATGTATCGGGTCAAAATCAAACTCAAAGTAGCTCCAAGAATTGTATATTTTACAAGTCCATAACCAAAGAAAGATGCAACAATATCAAATAGTTACTTATTTTTTTAATGCATCTCAATAATACGTGAAGAGAGTGAGAGTATGAAAGGTTGATAATATGAAAATTGGAAATCTGAATTATCTAAGTCCACTTGGATATTCAATTTGTAAAATTAAATTACCGGTAAATAAGTTACGAATTAATTTAAAATCCCTTCACGAAGAGAAGTTAGGTAATTCAGATACTGGGTGTGATGGCTCTACAGACAAAGAGTGATACTGAGAATTCTATCAACACTCAGTAGATAGCTAATTCAGTCATTATTGAAGGTTGATTCTCATTCTATGTACAGTACATAATTGTGAAACTCCAGTGACTCTTTAATTCTGAACATATATTACAAGTAAAAAAGTGGAAATAAACTTCCCCTAACTCTTAAGTTGAAGTTTTCAGCCCCTTCTTAAAAATTTAAATTTTGTGACCCATATCACTTTAAAACTCAACATGTCTGATACGATCGTGAACAAGTTAAGGGAGCATTGGATAATCTCATTAGAAATCTCTTTGGTTAATTTTGACAGTACCCCCCTGTACAGTATTTCCATAACAAAATTAGGTCAATCCCTTTGTTCTTCATTCATCTTGTAGACTCAAAGGAAGCAAATGTAATAGTTTTGCCAAAGTTTAAGTAAATCTATTACCGTAACCGTACTTTAGTACTTTTCATTATATAATTGTGGTATATAGAAAACTATCACTAAAATATATGGGAAATAAGGCATTAACATTTGTAAACTGTTTTCATTCACACTAAACAGAAATTCTGAGGAAAAGGAAAGCCCTCTTTTGGCAATGACAAATTTATATTACTCTGTTTTCCCTTAAGTCAATCCAACAGTAACTATTTACAGAGAATATTATAAGCTAACAATGTACTGTATTACCTTTTCATGTGAGTAAACCCAATGTGAGATTATTCTGCTGGTACCTTTAGCTGCACACATTTTGGCAAAAAATCTAAACATCAATTCCAAACATTACCTATGACGTTTTAGAAGTGACATCATATACAGGTACACAGGAAAATATTTAACATTTATACAATCACGCATATTGAGCACCTAAGGCGTTGGCGTCTCATGATTTTTTATTATTTTGACTAGAATTTCTTTTGCCTCAGTAGCCTTCTCTGTAATCATATACACCTATTGCACAGGCTGAAAATTTGTTTAATTTTTTTTTTTAAATATTATGGAATATATTTTCTCAGAAAGAATGTATGATGCCTAACACTCGACCTCTATCCCTGTTTCATAAACAAAACAAGTGATTCACATGTAACCATAATACCTGCATTGTTTAAAATTGTGTTATTTTTTACACTACATCTGTTATTAATGTACAGACACAACTAAAATACAAAGGCATGATTTTACTGCAGAATAACATGTATTCAAAAATAAAAAAATACAGCCACAACTCACTGAAGACAGGCATTGTAAGAAAACACACCCTGTAATACAGTATTTCAAAAGGCAAGTGCACCAGCCTTGTCTAAATTTATTCTTAAATAAACCGACAGCACACACTGAAACCTAATAAAGTTTGTATATTATTTAAAATCATTAGATTTTAAGAAGTTCACAAATTTGTTCAGAATACAGTGGCAGCACCCGATGGGGAGAGTGTGCTCCCTCCCTCCAGAATTTATTGGTGACATGATGATAAATGCCATGCCATCAATGAGTGTCCTATGAGCCTGGGTATTACAGGATAAATAGTATACAAAAGGTTTACTATACAATTGGCCAAAGCACTTGAATCTATGATGAGGAACATTTCATCACCCTCACTATGTGTTCCCAGCTCTGCCACTGTGAACATGTCAAAATGTCCTTCCCTAATCACACTGTGTATTCGAATATTTTACTTGTATTGAAGCCATACAAAAGTAAACATGCCAAGCAAATTTTGTATTATACTGTATAGATATATATACATGTATATATATTTATATATGTGAATTAACTCATTACCAATCTAATGAAGTATGACATTATTTATACATTTATGATATAATACATTTTATAACTATAATTTTATTTAACCCTTAATTCTGGTGTATAAGATTTTAATAGCCATCTTGAAGAAGATGAAACAGTTTCTTCTCTATCGTGAGTGTCTATTTTATAATGTTGCCAAACCTAAATGAGTCTAAAAGTTCAATAGATAAATCCTTTAATAATACCTAATTAAACATCTATTGTCATATAATAAGTACTGACAATATGAGGCACATGTCAAATTGTTCCATATGCATCCACATCCCAATCTTTCATGTATCAAACACCCAACACACAATAGTCAATATCTCACTCAGTAAAAAGTACTCTATGTGACCTAAGCAATAGTACAATTTTATCTAAGGGAGCTTAGCATACATGTCATCAATCTGTGGAGTGAAGTACTTTTTGAGTTGTGGTCGCTTGGATTTGAGAGTTGGAGTGAGAAGCCCATTCTGGACACTGAAGAGGTCTGGGTGGAGGTAAATGTCCTTAGCCTGAAAAAAAAAACCACCTATATCTAGTAACTTCACTACTTTTCTATTGTAGTAAAACAAACAGTTATACTACAATAGAAAAGTAGTGAAGTTACTATAAAAATTGAATTTTCTGATGTTCCAAAATTTATGTAATAAGAATTAGTTTAGTTATTCCTCTGAAATGTAAGAGAGTTGGACTTACAGAAAATAGGAAGGGACTGCTGAGGTGAAAACGTAAAGTGAACAACATAACATATGGGATTAATTGAAATAGACCGGGCTGACCCCAAACTCCACTTTTTCAGACACAATACCTACAGTACGTTGTAGTAAAAATAAATTCTTAATTTTATGATGGTATGCACACACAATTAATAATTAAGAGAAATATCAATAATATTAGGTTTTTTAACACTTACATTAGTAGAAAAGATGGCTGGGCACACGGGGATGGGGGGTTGGTTCCGAGGCAGAGGGCAGATTATTGGCCCTCACCTGTATCACTTGTATCAATTGTATCACTATCCACCACAGAGGCTTGCAGGACCTCTTTGTCAAACCTCTCAAAGTCCATATCCTCACTATCATTATCACTATCACTGACTTGGGCCGGCTGTGGTGGGTGGCGGGTGAAGAACTCGGTAATGTTTTGATGACTGGGCGACCTTGTGCGCACCCTGCTCTCCGCGTAGAAGGGTACACACACCGCGGAAAGTGAGCATTCCGGTTTCGGCAGGGTACCGCGTAAACGTGGAAACGCGTAAAGTGGGATCGAGTAAAGCGAGGGTTGACTGTATGTGATTTTCTTAGTAAATAAGTAATGTTATTTTTTAAGTAGTAATTACAAGATAGATTGATGATTGTAGATCATGATGACATAACTGACTACTTAGAAATTACCACACTTCAAGAATTGTTCGATACTGAAAGTGAAGGCTGACCTGTAATTGTGAGTGTTTCTAAGCCACATCAGTGCATTGTAATAATTTTTCCACAACTTTTATAGTTTGATTACAAGTAACAATATACAAGGCGGCTGGGCTGGCAAGTCAGCGATGTACAATAATCCCGTGTTTTTCGCGTTTTTTTTATCGCGGTTTTGACCATTCGCGTTTTTTTTACTAAAAAATTATATATACAGGTGCTCCTCTACTTACGAACGAATTACGTTCCTGAGGCTTGTTTGTAAGTCCAACTTTACCCCTGTAGATACCAAACATATTATAAAAAATGAAAATATTATGGATATTTAGTACAGCTATACCCTTTAATACAGCTTTAAAACCTGGCTCACTCTTCTCCTCGTAGGTAATGTTTGTTCTACTGTATCTGGAATTTTCTTCAAAATAATCCAGTCTCATCCACATTAAACACCTGTTCTGGCAGGTAGCCCCCTTCAGTGATGATGTTTGTATCTCTGAAAGTTTGTAAGTTGAATGTTCTTAAGTAGAGGAGCACTTGTATATACTGTATATAAAGTACGTATACTTTAAAAACAAAAATTAAAATTCTGCGCCATTTTCGATATTCCCGTGCAGTGCGGCAAAGAGACGCCACGCTTTCCAGACTCAGACACCCCCTCAGACACCCGCTGCTCCGATAGGCCTCAGTCCACACGTGCCTACCGTACTGTGAACTCTACTGTGATTACCTTTTCTGTTTGTCCTCCCATGTGCATTCCACATGGCTCCGGGACGTAAGCCAGCCTCATCAAAGGCAAACATTACTAGCAAAGACTCTAAAGTGATCAAGAGATCAAGAATAGTGATGACCTTAACGGGAAAAAACAGTTTTATTGGACAAGCTCAGAGGTGGCATGAGCAATGGCTCGAGATGTGGTGAAGACTGACAATTCATTTGTGTCTTTTTTCAGAATACAAGTCTTCAAGTGGAGGAATGTGGGTGGAAGAGGACTGGCTCGCTGGCGTGACTGCATGAGGGCGGGCAGATGTAGGGACAGCAGGGAGAGGCTGGCAATGTGGGTGTTGCCGACCTCAGCGAAATATAAAATTTTTCATTTACTTGTAAATAATTTTTTTTTTATATAACTGTGTTTACGTTTTCCATTATTATACTACAATATGATTATGTAGTTTCAAATAATGATGTTAGTAAATGCTGGTACAGTGCATCAGTGATCAGTGTGACCACTGGGCTGTGAGTGGAGTGCATGCCATGGTTAAGTGCATGACCTACCTGAGCTGTTTGGTGACAACAGGTATAGTGATTCGTAAAAGAGTATTCGGGGTGTTTCAGGAACGTAATTCCCGTGAAAAACACGGGATTGCTGTAGTTATAGCCCACAGCCTCCACACACATTCACTTCTCACACATGCTCACCCATGCTCTGCATTTTTCTTATTTTATAGTTTTATAATATATTTACTTTATTTCCAAGTCACGTCGCTTATATAGAGTGGAATAAGTGTTAAAGAAGTAATTTTTTTAGTTTTTTTTTTTAACTCGAATTGTCAAGGCCAGCCTGTAGTTTGTGCATTGTACGATTTATTGGGGGATCCTAAAAGTGAGGTAGTACGCAGCTATCAAACACGGAGGTACTACCGCCTGGGAAGATATTATAAGCATAATGTATTGTCTAATGGTAGACCCTGCTGCCATATGGCATCACAAAAATTGTGACCAAGTCCCAGGTTGCTGATCTGACTTTCTGCCTCATTTACACACAATTGCAGGTTCTCACTTGTTACTCTTACTATTAACAACACAACATACATATATCATTTCTCACTATTGATATTTTTATTTTTTGTTTTTTAATTTATTCATGGCTCTTTATTATTACAGGCGGTATTATTATTATTATTATTATTATTTATAATTTTCATAGACTTTTATTATTACTGTATTTGTATTTTCTTTTAATATAATTATTTTTTTTTAAATATTGTTATTAATTTTATTATTATTATTATTATTATTATTATTATTATTATTATTGTTATTATTATTATTATTTTCTTTTATTATAATTGTTATTCATTAAATATATTTATATTAATTTTATTACTATTATTATTATTATTACCATTATCATCATCATCGGCATAATTATTATTATTATTATTGTTTTATTACATTTTCGCCCCACGGGCCTTGATGTGGGTCATTAAAAAGGACCCGTGCCTGGGTGGGCTAATGCCCTTAAAGAAATAAAGAAACCTGGAAAATCTCTTTATCTGACACCTCTCAATCCCTGTAGGTGCCAGGTAACTGGGATTCTACTGTATATATAGTATAAAGAAACTAAAAATATGGATTAATGTCCACAAACGTAGGGTACAATTTAACACAAGAGTGGAACCAATAATTATCATGCAAAATTAAATTGCTGTTATTGTTAAAACTTCATCGATGAGGAAAGAGGATAAAGATGGTAACCTTCAACATGACGGCAAGCATTACACATCAGTTATGAAAAAATTCACATCATTCACAAGTTATTCCTCAGATGTTTCTCAAACTTTTTTTTTTAAGCCAGTCAGGGGGAAAAAATGTACAGTACGTACAGTACATTTAACAGGGTGAGTAAACGATAATAAAGTATGATAATAAATACTGAAGAGTTTTTAATGAATTACATAAATCTTACCTGTTCAAAGGACTTGAGACCAGCTGCCTTGCCAAGGTTGGTAATGTCATCCATAATAAGCTGTTTAACATGAGGATTAGCACACAGAACAGAGAGCGTGCCAGGGATCTCCTGTTCCCTTGCCCATTCCTTTACGGATTCTACCTCCGGAACAATGATGGCCACCACACTTGACTGTTTAGAAAGATTGTGGATTCAATATTACAATCATAAGTTTTTCAAAATATCTTATAAGAATACAGTACATTACAGTATTTGTAAATGAACATAATGAGACATGAGTAAGGTAACTTCATTTACAATACTGTACAGTACTATATGTAAGGCTTACGTAGCTCACCTGCAAAAAGTAGGAAAGACATCATCCTCACTCTACTTATGGTATATTCAACAGATAATGAAGGCTTTAAATATATAGTACTGTATTGTATGTACTGCCATATTATGCATCATCATCATATGGTATAAAATAATATCTTTGTTAGCTGGAATCCCTCTTAATCGGAACTCTCCGATAGCCGCAATTGAAATTTTCTCAGAAAATCTTTCCCAAAGCCGGAAATTTCCAGAAAATTTTGTCATTGAGAAAATTGTTCCGAGAAAATGTTCCCAGTACCTAGAAAATTCCAGGGATGGGGGAGTTTATTCCTGGGTTTGAGAGATGAAAATCAGGCGCATTTTCTGGAAATTTTGAGAAAGATTTTCTGGTACCTGGAAAATTCCAGGGATGGGGTTATTTTTCCGGGTTTGAGAGATGATGTACTGTACAGTAATGCAGAATTTCTTGAACTTCCGAGAAAATTTTTTTTTGTTACCTGGAAAATTCCGGGAATGAGGGATTTTTTTTTTCCGGTTTTGAGATAGTTGTCTCGTTACCCGGAAATCTCTCATTCCTGGAAGTGCTCTGCATCAATTGTTTTGGCTAGTGGAGATATCACTTGTGTGTGTGTGTGTGTGTGTGTGTGTGTGTGTGTGTGTGTGTGGACTGTATTTTGTTTTATAAGTTACCTTATTTTACGGTGAGCATACATTGAGCCCTTTAAATTTGATGCGTGTGTTTGGGGGGAGTAAAAAAATTTTTGGATTATCAAATAATTTTTTTTTATATGTACGTTTGTCTACTTTTTTTTTAATCCTCGTGTGCATGTATGGACATGCATGTGAATATGTGAGAACTGGTAACCTTTACCGTAACATACGGCATATAAGATGCAGGGAGTATTTAGGAAAACACTTTTGTGTGTAATTTCCTCCTGTATCCATAGTTTTCTTAAAACAATATATACTGTATCAGTAAATGTGAGGAATAAATAAGTCACAACAAAAAATACTATTGCCAAACCAGTTGTACTGTACATCTGTACTCCCCGTTCACCATAGCAATGGTGATGCTACCTCTGCCGATTCCCTAGCTCCCCCACTAAGCCAGCTGATTCATGTGCAAAGAAATGTTCATTACTTTATGTGTTTGCCCTTAGGAAAATTATTTCTTTTACTTTTTTCACAATATGTATGTAGGATGGTGTATGCATGTACAGTATATCAGTAAAAACAAATGAAGAAAGTTATGTATATCTACCCGAAAATACGAGTTAATAAACAACATCTTGGCCCAGTAGCTTGGTGGTTACACAGACGAGTCTAACCTGGCTACAATGCCACCAGTGATGTTAACAGATGTAAATGTTAAAAGAAAGTTATCTGCAAATCTTCATTTGTATCAAGTATTTGCAGATTGAAAAATAAATGCAGCAGGTATGGCATTAAGTAGATTGTAATGCTTGTAGGACTTCAGAAATGGTTACTGCTTAGCTACCTCTGAAGAGTAGGGTGTCTGCCGTACAGACATACTAATCGTCTCAGGTTTTCGTCATCATTACAGTATAGAGTAGTTATGGATCTACCTTTTAGATTTACAACAATTATTTTTTAATTCATAAAAAATAATAATAATGTTTAAGTAAGCAATAACATATTTCACATATAGGGCCCAGGCTGATTTTTTTAGCCATTTTTCAGATATTTATGGCATCTTATATGCTGTAAAATACAGTATTTTATATGGAGCCTGTATCATGAGATATAAACAAATAAAAATAATGCATATCCAACACTTACTTTGAGACTTTCACCATGTACGAATACCTGGGCAACGAACTGTGATCGTACATATATATTTTCTATTTTCTCAGGAGCAATATATTCACCCTGTGACAGCTTAAAGATGTGCTTCTTGCGATCAATTATCTTCAGTGTTCCATTCTGTAAGAGAGCAACATTATAATTCATACTGACATTACAAATCAGTTAATTTACCATACTTATAATATTGCATAAATTAAGTAATTTTGGATACAGGAAATGTGTAATATAATAGACCTTTAATACATCTGCGATCTTGACATTTGGCACAGGGGTGCTTTTTTTAATTGTGGCACATGGTCTAGTTATGTTACCAATTTGTACAGATTGTCTCAGGGGTCATGAACCAGAACAAACTTCAAAGCTCTTCTTTTCTTTTCTTTTTTCAAATGAGGGAATCATAAAAAATCGAAGATGAGACACCCTGTATAAAGTTCGGTTACATAGTCTTTCACATCACTGTTGGTCAATGACTCCATACATCTGTGCTATCAAGAGAAGCAAATAAAACTCAAGCACAAAATGATAACTATTAAATCCTCATTAACCATCAATGTAATTTTTTTTATCCAATATTAAGTGTTGTATTACTACTATACCAGAAGGTGGTAACCTGGCAATACCTTGAATTTTGCTTATACAGCTCCTCCCCAACTTACGACGGGGTTAGGGACCCAAATCCAAGTCGTAAGTCGAAAATGCTTAAATAATACATAAAAAATCTAAAATGGGTGTCTCTTTTTCTTCTCAGCACCACACAACTCTCACTTTTAAGCTTGCCAGCCTTTAAAGTGAATTACAAACGAAAATTTTCTCTGTGTACTGATGTTGGGACTCGAAAATACGTAATTTGACAAAATTTTGGTACGACTGAGGCAGGTCGTAAGTCGAGTAGGTCGTATGTCGGGGATGAACTGTATTGTTGTTTTAACTAATTACTGTATAATTATTACTCACATTAAAGCATTGTCTTTATTCACTGTATAAAGAAAACAAACTCTTTCTTATCATAAGTTTCTCTTTTCATCCCAATACACCAGTTTTGTTTACTATATAAAAGAACCAAAAGCAACTTACAGGGAGCCATTGGCCAATGTCCCCAGTGTGAAGCCATCCTGAGCTATCAATTGTTTCTCGAGTCTTTTCAGGATCTTTGAAGTAGCCTTTGAATACATTGGAACCTTTTATGCATACTTCACCCTGACCTGTGAAAAAATTACAGAACTAAATATTAATATGCCATTATTAATATTTACAAGTTATACGTACATGGTCAACATTCATTGTAAGTTTTAACAATAACAATACAGTAAGATGTATCTTTATGAAAATCAAACTAAACCTATATTTATTAGTATTATTTACATAAAACAAATATACTGTATGGTAATTCTACACACTAAGAAACTTACCCTGAGCAGCATAATAGTCCATGTCTGGAACATCACACAGCTTGATAGCATTACAGGCAATAGGAGGACCTACGTGGTCAGGTCTGTAGTCACCCTGGATGGTCAAAGTTGATGGGGCCCCACATTCTGTTTGGCCATAACCTTCTACAATCTGTCAGGCAAAGAAAATACAAATATCTCATTAATCATTGTCTAAAAATTCATCTGGTAGATATTTAGTGTAATCAACCTATTACACTTCCGTGGTGAAACATACAATGCTACATATAGGTGAAATTATATTGAGTGAAATTAAAATGGATATACTGAACCCCCTAATAGCTTTGCACCTTGCCCCAGTTAGCACCAGTCACCATATAGTGTTGTCATTCAGATTTAACTGTTACCTGGTTCAAGATAAAGCCAGGACAAGGTGCAAATATTACAAGGGAAATTACAACGGGATGAGGCAAGAGATGAGGGGTATTCACTGGCCTGACTCATTAAGGCACAAGAACGCAGACACTACGCTGAATATCATAACTAGTAACGTGACCCATTTGATCGATAAATATATACCCAAGACCAAACCCAGTGCCTCTAGGAATACGAGGGGATCCCTACACATGAACCATGCGGCAGTCGATAAAGTTAAGAAGAAAACCCAGAAATTCAAGATGTGGGTTGGGTCAAATGATGAGCAGGACAGGAGGATGTATGCAAGAGCCAGAAACCAAGCAAAGATAGAATGTAGAAGGGCTGAAAAGGAGTTCTAGAGGCTGGTTGCAAGTGAGGTCAAGTCAAACCCAAAGGCGTTTTACCGCTATGCAGAGTCGAAATTAAAAACTCGAGTAGGATCTGAGGCTTGAAGATGATAGTTTCGCAGATTCTGACCAGGATAAAGCTGAGGCATTGAACAGCTTCTTTTCCTCGGTGTTCACAAGAGAGGATGTGATTAACCTCCCTGTGTTTGAGGACAGACAGTTCGACACAGCACTGACCCACATTGTATTCACAGAAGAAGGTATTAGAAATAAACTGTCAAAGCTAAAGGTCCATACCAGTCCCAGCCCTGACATGGTGCATCCTAGAGTGCTAAGAGAGTTGTGCAACGAGCCTGCCGAGTCCCTGAAGATTCTGTTTTGTTAATGCCTGGATGAACAAAAGGTCCCCAGTGAATGGAAAGTGGCTTATGTGAGTCCTATCTTCAAGAAAGGCGATCGTCACTCCACGAAGAACTATAGACCGGTGAGCCTGACCAGCATAATATGTAAAGTACTTGAGAGTATTATCAGAGATGCCGCGATGGAACACCTACTACGAAACAACCTTATAAAGGATTGCCAACATGGTTTTAGGCCGGGGCGCTCCTGCTTAACACAATTGCTCAAGGTATTGGATATTTGGTCCCATATTCTGGAATGGGGTGGTAATATAGACACTATTTACCTAGATTTTGCCAAGGCTTTCGACAGTATACCCCATGAAAGGCTGAAAATCAAACTGGAAGGGTATGGAATTCGGGGAAATGTCCTAGCGTGGATAGAAGACTTTCTACATGACCGCAAGCAGTGTGTGGTGATTAATGGCACAAAATCATCATCCATACCTGTCACAAGCGGGGTACCACAGGGTAGTGTATTGGGCCCGCTGTTGTTTGTTTGTTTCATAAATGACATACCTGACGTTGTACACACCTCCATACAAATGTTTGCCGATGACGCCAAGTTATTGCGGGAAATCAAGAACCAAGCGGACTGAGAAGAGCTGCAGAAGGACCTCTGTGGGCTCCAAGAATGGTCGAAGATATGACTGCTGAGATTCAATGTCACAAAGTGTAAGAGGATGCACCTGGAGCGTACCAACGGTGAGGAGGCGTATCATATGTCCCAACGGGATGAAGAAACTACACTATTTGAGATTGAATGTGAGAAGGACCTAGGTGTGTATGTTGACAATGATCTGAAGTTCTCGGGCCTTTGCGAGAAAAAGGTAAATCATGCAAATAAATTATTGGGTCTTACAAGAAGGTCATTCAGATATCTAGATGGTCGGTCCCTCATAACGATCTTCAAGAGTGAAGTGCTTCCCCATCTGGAGTACTGTCACCCCGTCTGGTCCTCGAAATATGCTAGGGACTGTCAGTTGGTTGAAAATGTTCAAAGGAGGGCCACCAGACTGGTGACTGCACTTCGGCACCTCAGCTACCCTGAGAGATTGGAGCGCCTGAACTTGCCTAGCTTATACTACAGACGGGCAAGGGGTGACCTAATTGAGGTGTATAAGCATCTCAAGGGGCACTACTCAGTCGAGTGTCCTTACTTGGAGCTGGCGGACGCTCGCCCCACAAGGGGTCACAGTTCAAGATTGAAGAAGCTGCAAGTCCAGAAAACTGTGACGGTAAACTTTTTCAGAGTGAGAGTTGTGAACTCTTGGAACAATCTACCAGAAAGTGTTGTGACGGCACCGAGTGTGAGCTCTTTCAAGACAAGACTTGAACAACACTGGAGTGGGTTCAGGTACATTCAGGAGCTGGTGCATGCCCAGTACTTGCCAACAGTGCGTAACAGAGACGTGACCGATCGCCCATGAGGCTAACAAGCCAATCATTTGGTGAAGAGGATAAAAGAAAAGGAAAAGTAACAGACGTGACCGATCGCCCAAGCGGCTAACGAGCCGATCATTGGTGAAGAGGATAAAAGTAAAAAGTAAAGTAAAAGTTTATCCTCTGACAAATATGCATGTTTATTCATTTCTATTTTGTTTTTCATTCACATATTTGACACTACAGCTCACACTATTTTTAAGTAACCTTTAAAGTTAAAGCCTTATGAGAACTGTAGCCCTAATTATATTAAAAAAAAGCATAGATAAACAAATAAATAACTAAATGACAATACTTACAACACATCCTAAAGCAACTCTCATAAATGTGAGCACATTGCCTGCCAGAGGTGCTGACCCCACAACAAGCAGTCTCAATCTGCCACCCATTCCATCTTGGACCTTCTTGAATACTAACTTATCCCAGATGGATGTTCTTCTTACCACACCTCTGAAAGAAGATAATCATATTTCATGCCACTCTTAAACATATGCAATTACAGTAACTCTTGTTTTATTAATTATTATTCTCCATCTGATCTACTGGAACTGGATACTTTTTTTTTTATAGAGGACAGTTTTGCCTAATTTCATCTCATTAAGTGATCTATTCGGTGAGGGAGTAGAAGAACTCTCTAGACTGACATTAATGGCTTTTTTGTTTTGCCAGTAACTTTTTTTTTATTTGGATGTTTCTATATTCTTCAAAATTAGAAAGAAGATTGATAATGGACCCTTCCACAAAATGTGTGGAACACACTCTTGGTCTTAGCTGACAACAAGTAACATCATGGGTCCCTTAGAATGCCAATCTCTATTATGTTTATTTCTTGTTGATTTATTGGTTATGTAAAGGCATAAATGTTAAACACTGATCAAAGCAAGTGTGGAGTTAATGACAAGAGGGACTTGGGGAAGTTATGACAACTCTCCACTGCATAAAGTACAGTAAACTGTCAGCATCTACATCATCCAACAAGTACAATCTACACTTCAAAGTAGGCCCCATTGTACCCCTGAGTCTGCTAATATTGCACAAGTGATTACAGCACATTCACTGAATCTCTTACAACTGAAGTAGAACTTATTTAGATTAATGTTTTTCAATGTGAAGACAAATTAAAAAAAATGCATAACTTATATTTATATACATTTCTCTCACACTTGGTATGCTTTATACATCTGAAACTTTTCCAACAATTAATGTTGGGATTATGACATACTGTATACCAATGTCCTACATTTAATATTTATATCTTTCTTTATCATCAGGTTTGTTTATGAAGTCAAGTCTTTTGACAAAAAAATACTTTTCTCTTGGTGTAACTACCGGTAGTTTATCTTTCACCAGTTCTAGAACATACCTTTCCAATTCTGCTTTCTTGCTTGCTGCTGCCATCTTCAACATGAGTTTCTTAATAGCTGATCCATTGACTGATGTTGCGACTTTGTCAAAAACACGATTCAGGAGACGAGGGACAGATGGGGTGATGGTCGGGCGTAAAGCTTTGTAGTCATCAACAAGATTTCGAATGTCACCAGAGTAAAAGCCGACAGCACCACCAGCTATATAAACAGCCACTTCACAGCAGCGCTCTAACATGTGGGCCAAAGGCAGGAAAGACAGCATGACATCACTCTGGGGAAGAGAGACTTATGTCTTATACCTATTGTATTTTATACAGTACGAACTTCTTGTATCTTATTTACTACATTTAACACTTCAAACAACACACACTTGTTATGTCTCAAACCAGTGTTTCTCATACTTGTTTAATCTAATTTGTTATAACGCGCACAACATTTACTAGGCTTGCAACAACTTGATGTCTAGTAAATTTTTGTCTTGAATATTCATTGCTAGAAAATTTGAAAAAATATAGGAGCTTGATGGAGAAATAAAAGAAGCACATACAGTAATATAATTTCTCATACTGTAGTTACAAATCAACTTACTTTATGTGGTTTGTGCTCAGCCAGCTGTAGGAGTGTTGCAGAAACATCTGCAACAATATTTTCATGTGACAACATGACACCCTTGGGGTTACCAGTAGTACCAGACGTGTAGCAGATCGTACACAGGTCATCTGGATTTGGGGGCTGTTGAAAAATTTGCATTTTAAAACTTGTTTTTATAGTTTCTGCAATGCATAAACTTAGCTGTGAATAAGAGTAACTTTGTGCAGTGTACTGCATAATACTGTACTGTACTGTATTAAGAGTGGTTTAATTTTACACTTATGATTGTATAATACTGACCACAGTCATACATGTAAGTTAACGTAAAATCAAACAATTCATAAAACATGTAGCTATAACTTCATTATTGAGTCCCCCAATCTGAGACGTCCGTTTTCTGACCACTTTAGTACACCTGAGAACTCTGTTTTCTCTCGTGTACCTTGGAGACTCTAATATCTCATATGCTGATTTGCGATTTGAAATTGCGAATTAATGCATATGTGTTGCATTAAGATAGATATGTCTGCTTACAGATGAAACATTCAAGATCCATTGTGGGTGACGTTGAAAGCTTCAACTGTATTTATGTTTAGTAAAATTGTGAAATAAATTCAGTGTAGAGTCTGCCAGTGAGAGTGACGAATCCTGACATTAGCCTTGGGGACGCCCTGAGTTTCCAATTGCTACTAAAGTTAGACCATTTTAATTCCCAATCATCAGAGAATCTGTTGATTGTATTGAAATTATTGTCAGTTTTATATTTTAGGAAGTCATTAATCTTCTGAAAGAAACATGTCGACTTCTTATCACCTAAAATCTAACGACAAAATATCAGTATTCCCTTGTTTCTTGTTTGCTGACGATGTGAGAAATGACGTTATCAGCTTGTGTGCTTGATGTCAATTTGAGTATTGCCTTGCAAGCCTAATCACTGATTAGATTGTAAACAATAGACTTAAGAATTGATCTGACCCATGACAATGATTTTCATAGTCCAAGGTATAACGCAGCTGAGTTAAAAGAATATGTATGTACATATACGAAAAGGCATTCTGACATGAATGAGTTGCCATACGCCCCATATGTAACTGTGTGCAAGGGACAATCGTCACGTTTCAGATGATCCTCCATTGTATTTCAGGTATGTAACTAGTGCCTCACGTCCACCATATTAAGTGAATTTAACCCAGTTGAACTTTGTTGAATATCAATGTTCATGTTTTAACATAGTTGAAAGTCTTATGTGCCAAGTACTGAAATAACGCAACTAGACATCGTTTGTGTTGACTCCATGCGTTTCCCTTGCCAGGCGTGTGTGATAATTTGTATTTGATTTGACTACGTTTCTGAAGACCCTCCATCGTATCTCAAGCACGGTGGGTGTTTGTTGTCGTTACTTGCTGCTACCGACTGCCAGTAGCAGCCTGCAGGCAAGCTCTCCGAAGCAGGATGTCTTTAATCCAGCGAGATTAAAATCAGAGGGAATGACGTGCCCTTGGAGTTAACCAAGGGAGAGTGGGCTCTCTAGCACTGCGCGTCGGAGTTTAGCAAGGCTACAGCCGAGCACATGGTTGAACGTCAAGGATTGTTCTTTGAATGTATATGATTGTGGATAATTAGCAGGAATATAGTTGTCCCAGGTTGAGTATGGAAACCATAAATATTGGTATTACCAGTATTAGAGTTTGTTATATGTTGTGAGTAAACCATCGAGGTATACTCACAACAGAGTTGCTGGTACTGTGTAAGTTTCCTGTGATAGCATGTTGCTCTAAATATTAATACCATCATTCTGTGCTAAGGTGTGTAAGGTGACCATCTTTGCTGTCTATGATATATAATAATATCCTTAAGGTATAAATACTGAATGCTAATTGAAGATCTATTTTTGTTACTTATACAGTAACCTAGTGGTCCATTTTTGTTTGAGTGTTACAGTAAAGTAATCAGTGATTGAACCTAATTTTTGTTGTGGTGAATAAAGGTTTAAATTTTCATACTACTGTATTCACCTTTGATTTTAATAAATACTGATTTAGTAGATTGTGATTATCACCACTCCTTCCTTCCAAAACTTCGCTTATCAGAAAATAAACACTGTAACTCAAGTGCCTAAGCTCGTGTCTACCACACTACCTTACCCTTTTGAATAAGTTATATTCAAAAGAAAAGCCTGGGTTGTGGCAGTCTACTATGTAAGTATAATAGTTATATTAATGAGTAATGTTAAAGAATGACATAGTTTTCCCAGGTTAATCCATTGAACAGAATAGAACTAAACACAGCTGAGAATAAAAGTAAGTAAGTGGAAATACACAAACAATAAGCGCTGAAAAAGAAATAAATAAGCACAGTGAAAGAAAGACTTAGAAAATAACTTAGAAAACATTGAAATAACTATAATAACCAAAGAAAAAACCTTAGAAAAGAAATAAAAGTAAATAAGAAAATAAGTAAAACATACCCAAGAAAATTAAAGAAACTTAAATAAGTTATACAGTAGTAACAGAAAAAAATAGAAATTAATAATTATTAAAGTAAACCTCTTACAAATATTTTCAACTGATGAAATGACTGTTATCAATTGACAGAGTCAAATCATTATAAATTCTCCCAGCCTTACAAATACAGTGACCCCTCGTTTAACGAACACCTCGGTTAACGTAATTTCGATTAACGAACTGCCTTCCATAAGGATCTTCAATTCGGTTAACGAAAAAAAATTCGGTTAACGAAGTTCTTACGAACCGACCTCAACATGTTTTCGCTTGCACTGACCGGGCAACCAACTTTAGTATCAGTCCGCCAATACATTAATCGGTTCTAGGGCTTAAATTCCTTACTATTTTAGTAAATATCAAGAAGTTTATACTATTCAATAATTTTAAAAGTTTAATATTCAATTTTTTAGTCATTTTAACAATTATTGAACATAATTGAAGGTAAAGTGACTAGTTTAATGCGCGGCATCCAGCCTCTTAACACAGCAAACAGGAGTTAGTCTCTCTCTGTTTTCACTGGAGGTAACATCTTGCTTGAGACTCTCTTCAACTAAACGCTTTTTTTCTGTGTTTCCAAGCAAATTATTGGTCATTTTGAAATATATTTTACATATTGACAATATATAATGCAGTGCAGTGTTGATTTAAAGAAAATAATCTTGACTTACACCAGAGAGCTAAAATTTTATGGGTGAAATGGCGCCATGGGGTGACTTCTCTTCCACCCCAATGCCTTCTCTTCTTCCTTCTCCTCCACCCCCATTCTAAATCCCATCATCATCATCATGATCCAGGAGCCTTCTACATACACACCTCAAAGTAAGTGAACTTTTCTACCATTTTTGTTGAATTTAGGAAATTTTTGGTGAACTGGAACCAATTACCCAAAAACCCATTGAAACAATGGTTTCGGTTAACGAACGACCTTCTGGAACGGATTGAGTTCGTTAACGGAGGGGTCACTGTAATAGTTAACTGGTGAGATATATTTTTCACCTGGCATTACATGATTGGTGTACAGTATTGGTATGAAATATTATATGTCGTGCTTGTTCCCAACCTTTATAACTTTTATTATTACTCGGTACAGGTACTGTACTTCCCTTGTCTATTTTTCCCTTCTTCATTAAGTCATTAAGCCCAGGAATCCAAGATACATAATTACTCAATACCTTTGTAATATATATATATATATATATATATATATATATATATATATATATATATATATATATATATATATATATATATATATATATATATATATATATATATATATATATATATATATATATATATATATATATATATATATATATATATATATATATATATATATATATATATATATATATATATATATATATATATACTGTATATATATATATATATGCCAGAAATCCGGACCACCCGAAAATCCGGACTTTTCGAAAACTCACTTTTTTTTTTTAATTTAGCGGACTTTTGTGTATATTGTATGCGCATGCGAGAGTGCCACAGCTGCACAGCGACAACAAGCGACCATGTGGTCGCCACTTTAAAACGAGCAATCAAACTGTGACAACGTATGTAATTTTGAGTCCTACTCTTTCCATTTACAGAGTACTGTACAAGCCCATAATAATGGTTCCTAAAGTAGATAAACTTCGTTGTGTGAAGAGAAAGAAAACGTTGAAATGAGTGATAAACTTGAAATAATTAAGAAAATAGAACGTGGTGTGAACAATACTGTTCTAATGGAAACATACGACATTGGAAAGCCTACAATTTATGATATAAAAAAGGCAAAGAATAAAATTCTAGAATTCACAGCTTTTTCTTTAAAACTGCTTGTTTTGATAAATGAAGCATGCTATATTTGCTAATGAATAAACTATCAAAATGTACCTGTTCATCTCTTCTTTATTCATCCTTAAATTTGAATTTTAAAAGTACTGCCTGAGAATCTGGAAAATCCAAAAATCCGGACCGACCCAATCCATAAATTATGGGAAATGTACGTATTGAATGATCATATACAAAGGTACCCAAGGTTGATAACCTTAAAATTCAGTGGATCAAACTTAAGAATGTTTGATAAACTTACCATTTCTGGAAGTTCACTGGCAGCACCAAGGGTTTCAACCTCTTCGAAGAACTTAATGGTGATGCCTAATTTTTTAGCACGATCGGCAGTTTCAGGACTGACATCCTTGATGGCTACAAGAGTCTTCAGGCATTTAGGCGGACTTTGCAATAGTTGGCTCATCTTACGGTCATCTTGGCAAACTACTGTTGTGATGGAAGCTGTGGACATGAATTATCATAATAGTTTTCATCCAACTAAACAATCACAGGATCAAATTATTGTATGCTGTTCAGTACCTCATTGAGACAAAAAGAAGTCTTTGATTTTATAGAAGAGAAATCTTATTCTACTTTTGTGAATGGGAGTGTTTAATTTACTATATTATCTTTAAAAGATTGAACTGCATAATTTCCATGACAACCCTCTCACCTTGGTTTATAATAAAATTGCATGCTTCTGGTCCTAGTGTGTCGTACAGTGGGACAATGACCATGGATTGACAGTAGAGACCTTGTTCTGTTAGGATCCATTCTGGGCAGTTCTGTGAATAGATGCCAACAAAAGTCTCTGGCCCAGGGTTCAGCCCACAAGCCACTAGGCCAGCACCGAAGTTCTTTGCCCTTAAGAGAGCTTCGTTGTAGTGCAGCCACTGATAGGGTTTTCCAGGGCCCTCTCGTGATCCAAGGCATGGACCGTTATCTGCAGATGAAATAATATATTGTAATCAAGAGCGTAATTAAATACTTGTACATGCTATACAATTATTTAAAAAGAGGCATACAGTACAGAATATGGTACAATAAGTAATACTGTACAGGTAATAAAAGTGGTACTGTACAGTAGTATAATTTCATTGATACCTGTTCATTAATTTCACAAAAGGAGACAATAGCATTACAGTACAGTAGATGTACAGGTATTCTCATGTATGTGTTTCTCCTCCTCTATTTAATTTTTCATTACCACATTAAACAGGCACCACTGAAGATTTTTTCTTCAAATTTGATAAAATTTTAGATAAAAGCATTTCAATAAAGTACAAGTTACAAATTTACGTAAGTTCTATTTGTCATTCCAATAAAACATTGTTAACAAATTATGGAAGCTTTTTATAAAACTGTTTCTGTCTGAAAATTTTGCTCTGAAAAAAAAAATAAATAAATAAAAATACATACCAGAATTTTTTATTATTATTTTTTAATTTTAATTTTCACTTCAGCTTACCAGCCGTTCAGACGGTTGCTATTAGTTGGTCTATCCAGTGTTAGTACAGGAGATTGGAGGCTAGGAGACATGTGATGTTTGGTAGTCTCACACTGGATAACACGATTTACAAGAAGCTATGAGCTTATGTTCGGAACATTGTGAGTTGATCCAAACGTACAGTACTTACCCAACTTCAGTAAGTTCAAACCATATATTGCAAGTCCATATATTGCAAGACCATTATTTATGACATCATCAAACATGCAAAAAGAATTAGTTTAATAGATTATGAACAGAAAGGAAACTTACCTAACCAAACCTAACCTGAAAATAAAAAACTCTTGGTAAGTTCAGACCAACCTGCTGAGGGCCGAACTTACTGGTCCGAAGTTACCAAGGTCCAAAACTACCAGATACCGATAACAAACACTCTTCACATGTGTGTCCGAGTCGAGGCTCGAACCCTTGACATATTGGTGAGAGCAACGCGTGATACCGCTGTCCCAACAACACCAACACATCTTGTGGCCCTGTTCCCGATACTAAGCATTTGAAATATCAGACACTTATAACAGTCTAACTTATACTATAGGTGGCTGCTGGGATTCAATGTCACGAAGTGTAAGAGGATGCATCTGGGGCATACCAACGGTAAGGAGGCGTATCATATGTCCCAACGGGATGAAGAAACTGCACTAGTTGAGACTGAATGTGAGAAGGACCTAGGTGTGTATGTTGACAATGAGCTGAAGTTCTCGGGCCATTGCGAGAAGAAGGTGAATCAGGCAACTAAATTATTAGGTCATATAAGAAGGTCGTTCAGATATCTAGATGATCCGTCCCTCGTAACGATCTTCAAGAGTGAGGTGCTTCACTGTCTGGTCCCCGAGATATGCTAGGGATTGTCAGTCGATTGAAAATGTCCAAAAGAGGGCCACCAGACTGGTGCCTGCACTTAAGCACCTCAGCTACCTTGAGAGATTAGAGCGCACTACTCAGTCGAGTGCCTTTACCTGGAGCTGGCAGACACTCGCCCCACAAGGGGTTACAGCTCAAGGATGAAGAAGCAACAAGCCCAGAAAACTGTGAGGGGTAACTTTTTTGGAGTGAGAGCTGTGAACTCATGGAACAATCTGACAGAGAGTGTTGTGACGGCACCGAGTGTGAGCTCTTTCAAGACCAGACTTGACAAGCATTGGAGCAGGTTCAGATACATTCAGGAGCCAGTGCATGCCCAGTACTTGCCAACAGTGCATAACAGAGACGTGACCGACCGCCCAAGCGGCTAACAAGCCGATCAGTGGCTAAGAGGATAAAAGCAAAGGAAGAAAAAGTTAAAGGCTCCACTGAACATGCACCACAAAACACACCTGAAGCACCCCAAGTGATGGCGCCAAAACACTGAAGAATGAAATCTGAAAGTTGTGATCAGGGCTTTAAAATCCTGTTATTGTTGAGCCTTTAAATTTGATTAAGTGAAAATTAAGAAAACAGATAACACTGACCTTGGTCCATGATTATTCTTGATACTCTGAGGGGGAAAATTACCAATGAATTTATCCTTCACAGTTAGGGCAGTTGGTCTGTTCTTCCTTGTGACCTTCATTAACCATGTTATTACGGGAGGAAACCGAAGTATCCGTCGAAAACCTACGACGTTTGGTAAGGTCACACTGGATAACACCTTTCTCACATCTGATCAGAACCGCGTATCGAACCCGGGACACAATGATGATCGCGCGCCAACAGTTTGTTATTAATGGCCTCTTTGATAATGTAAGCGATGTTTCTCCATTCAAACTAGCTTTGGGACCTTGAAGTGACTTAGAAAGTTTTTTTCAAGTAAAGTCTCCAATGCAGTTGATGACGATCCCCATCCCGATAATTGCCTGTTTTCGATTTTTGCAATCCAACTTAGAAGGTTAGGTCAGGTTTAATCGTATAAAATAGACGATCATCCAACCGGGAATCATACAAGTGGGATATAATCATCACGCCACCGGAATGCATTTTAAGTACTGTACAAGTACCAGTATATAGCTCAAAGATGGAGGAAGGTCCACTTCGTTGTGTTTTAATACAAAAAGAAACTTAATTTCTACCCTAATTTATTTTTCCATCTGTTGCTACTGATGCTTGTCCGTTGTCCCTGAGAGAAGGGAACTAAAGATCACAGCTTTATTGAAAGTTCAAATGATACTCTGCACCCTCGAGACTAGAAGAGTGGCTCACATCACCATCAGCTTAGGGTATTTCGTGGTCGGTTTCTGTGTAGCTCTGAGTCTAAGCCATCATCACGTTGTCTGCCACCTCTTTATGGCTGTCTCCTGTTGTTAAATTTATGAAGGCCAGGCCTAAGCCAGGAAACACAATAGCCAACATAGTCCATCACATCTTCTCAGTGTAGGAAAACGATATCTTTGGAGTGTGACACATTCAAGTTTGAGAAGAATAGTTTCAAATCTATTGTTATTTACATTGATTTCTAAAACCCATCCACCATGATTCTGACAAAACACGGCGTGGAAGAGACAAGCCCACAACGTTTTAAGTGTAATGGCGAATCACCATCATAATTCTAAAATTCAGAGCTTTTTTCTTGAGATAGTTTTCTTAGTGAGGTTATCGCTCTTTAAGATGTGGTTCTCTCAAGTATTCTACAACACAGCCTTACATTCCTATTTTCCAATACATGACGCTACAAATAACGTTACTTGACAAGTAAATTGTCACACATGATACTATAGTGGATACTCTCCCCTACAACTGCTGACTGATCACTTGCCGTCTGAAACCAGCCAATCAGCAGCGAGTTCCACAGACCAGGCCTCACTCGCGAACTGCGCCGCTCATTTCGCACCTCGCTTCTCTGATCCTGGAGAATCGTATAAATACACCTCAGCCTAGCTGTTATATTACTCTACTCCACTCGCCAGAACCAGCAAGACCTCTCAACAAGCTCCTCAAACAACAAGACCTCTCAGCAAGCTCCTCACCACACAGCAACTCCCTAGCACCGACTGTACTTACAATATATATACTGTATATACGGAAAACGCTATTGTGAGTTTCCCTTCTTACCGCCATCCTTAGTGCGAGATCTACATGTACATATGGATGTGAGCCCATACAAAGAGAAAATAGACAAACAAAGAGAAACTTGACAACTGGCCACATATGTAGTGGATATCTCCCCTACAACTGCAGTTTGTCCCTGACTAGCCGACCCCTCTTCGAATTCCCCAGCCTACGCCTCGTTGTCTAGAGTCAGCAACCAGAGCCGTCTAACATAGCGGAGGTCAACTATCAAGCCACGCCTACCTCCGCTATACAAGACCTCACATCGCCGTGACCAGCCCTTCTTCTACCTACAGCCACCAGCAAGCAACACCTCCTCTGCTCCTGCCTGGTGGCTCTCGCTCTCGCCGGCTACTATGGCGCCCCACAAGCTGCGTGTCCTCCTCTGAGCACGCTCCCCAACCAGCTCTCTCTACTCCATGCTTGTAACCATGCTGCCACTTCCCAGTACCAAGCTGCATTGTACATCCAATACAATATGTATACAGAGAGCACATAGTGAGTTTCCTTTCTCCAACCCATCCTGAGTGTGAACCAATATCTCGAAACCCCACAAATGGTGACCCCGGAGTGACGCACTCACACAAGATGGAGGAGGAACGGATCACTCTCCCAGTCTTCAATCACAACATTGAAGGCTGGCTTATCCACACGGAGGCAGCTCTCATCGGCTCTACAGTTACAGACAAACAAAAGTACATCGCCCTGGTCTGTTCCCTGCCCACAGAAGTCGCCACGCAAGTATCACAGACCATCACCAATCCTCCAGCTGACAACAAATTCGCTGCCATACGGGATGCTTTGAAGACACGATACCAGCGGCCTCATAACACTCGCCTACAAGACTTATCCTGTCTCTCACTCGGCAACTCCACACCTGCACGTCTCTGGAACGAGATGCGTAGACGTAACTCCCGCCACACAGACAGGCTTCCTGACACTATCCTGCGCCAGTTTCACACTCAGAAGCTCCCTGCAGAAGTTCGTCTTGTCCTCTAAGTATTGGACTACTGTATTTCACTACCTCGGCCACCTACGCAGCCACAGCAGACAGGGTATTCCACGAATACACTGCTGTGCGCCATGCGTCCACGCACAACTCCCTGGCTACACTTTCACTTTCCTCCGGTCTCGTCAACCTGACCAGCACTCCCCAGACGAACAACACCTCACAAGATGTGCGGGACCTGCTACAGTCCCTACACCACAGGTTAGACACCCTAGAGCAGCTCTGCTCCTCCAAGCATGCAGCTGCTCCTCTTCCTGCCCCAAGCACCACGTCCTACCGACCCCAACACACCCGTCCTGCCTCAGACGCCGCCCCCAGCCCCCAGCACAGTGTATCTACACCCTGTTGGTACCATCAACGTTTTGGTGCTAACACTAGACGCTGTGAGGCTCCCTGCAACCACATGGCGAAACGACATCGACAGAGACGGATAGGCGCCATAACCTCTGCCACTATCAAGCAGCACATCACATACCTTACTTCTGACCTTGACCACTTCACTCCTGCTGCCCGTCACAACCTACTACAAACACTACATCAGGCGGTTTCTGCATTCAAGGCCCCACGCCAGCCTTCCCACCGCCCTGAACACATTCATCCCACACCTCCTCCGCCAGTCTGCCCACCATTACCCCTTGCAGCACCACCTCGCCCACAACATTTCTGGGCACCCTCTTTTCTTCCTCAGGTACCTACTGCTCCTGACGACCCCGCAGCCGGCCCTATAGACCCAGACACCCCACCCGGCGCCACTGAGGACTGTGTACCTGCCGTGAGAGAAGCACCACATTCCTCTCCTGTACAACCTTCTCTTACCCACAACCCTCCTTCTACCTCTGCTTCTCCCACAGTTCTCGTGTCTCTAGACAGAGTCGTCTCCTGTAGCAGCCAGCTCATCAAAACCCCCCGCACGTTATGTCTCACATGTGGGATACAACCCTGCTGACAACAAATCTCCTGCACAGCCCGGAGGGAAAGGGGAGTATTGTAGTGGATATCTCCCCTACAACTGCCGTTTGTCGCTGACTAGCCAACCCCTCTTCGAATTCCCCAGCCTATGCCTCGTTGTCTAGAGTCGGCAACCAGCGCTGCCTAACATAGCAGAGGTCAACTATCACGCCACGCCTACCTCCGCTATACTGTATAAGACCTCACATCGACGTGACCAGCCCTTCTTCTACCTGAGCCCAGCAGCAAGCTCCTCACCAACCAGCTCTTTCTACTCCACGCTCCCAAACCAGCAAGCTCCTAACCACGCAGCAGCTTCCCAGCACCAAGCTGCACTGTACATCCAATACAATATATATACAGAGAGAGCGCATTGTGAGTTTCCTTTCTCCAACCCATCCTGAGTGTGAGACATCACGAAACCTCACACATACAGTACGCTACAATATCATGTCCAGCGTGAAGCCAACACTCACAACACCTAAGAACATCATGCTATAATGTCATCAGAGGCAGGTGTTGATAACCTATGATTATGATGAAATGCATGAATTATACATCTCTAAGTAGTAAAAAGCAGACTATTACTTCCAGACTGTTTTTATGCATTTTGCATTTTAAGGTATTCAATAAAACACTGAAAAGATACAGAAAGATTGGGATCGTGTTTCTGAGAGCTATCAAATTTACATCTCAAATCCAACAAAATGTTAGACAGAATCTCTAATTTGTAGAAATCTAAACAAAATATTGTAACTAGGGAGATGAGGGCGATCACGCGGTTAACAAGTGTCATCATCAGGCTCTTTAGGAGGTGAATAAATGTATTGACACGGCGCGGGCCACGATCACGCGACACACTCACCTGACGTGTCCTCATTATTAAAGACGTGATCACATTCCAGCGATGCGGGACTGTGGACGCCAGGCAGTCTTCAGTGCGGTTGCTATTTTAAGAGTTTTCACGTCATGCACTCTTCCATTCAAAGCCAGCACGCCTCTCATGGTACTCGTCAGGTAGGACCCTGTTGGGAGAGGAACCCCCACCTCCTACGGTGGCCGGTAATAAAGTCACAGGAAAAAAAGTCAGGAAAAAAAGTCACAATTAATTTATGGTGGCCGGTAATAAAGGTTAGGTTAGGTTAGGTTACTGAAACTGATTGACATATTAACCTTAAAAAATGTGAGAATTCGATAGTTAACTTTTCTTTTTTTCCTGTGACTTTTTTTCTGTGACTTTTTTACCCGTGACTTTTTTACCTGGATTCCCTCCTACACCCACCACCATCAATCACACGTGATGACAGCCACACACTCTGCTTTCTTCCTTATCGTTGATTGGACTCCTCGGCGTGATAACAAACAAAACAAGGAACTTACTGGACTCCTTGACGCCCCTCCGGAACACGTCGTAGAGTGTGCGTGTGTCCTCATACAGGAACTTCATAAACTTCCCTTCTCGTGCCTCCTTGGTGAGTTTGGACACCCGGATGAGCTCTGAGCCCTGTGGAATAAGAGAAAGTGACATTAGAGAGTTTTCAAAATTGTTGGCTATTATGTACTTTGTTTTTAGTCCGTCAAAACTTAGACAGACATTTAGCGCTGGCTTTAGTGGAGGGGAGGGGGGGATTGGTGGAGCCTCCAGACCTCAGCCAGTTGTTAGAGCTACTTCCTGATAACAATCAAGAACCTGTACCTTCTGATGGTTGTCAAGTACATCACTATTATTACCAATTACTTCTTCATTATTACCAAGTACTTTCTGAATACTACCAGGTACGTTCTGAAGACTACCAATTACCTCATAATCACCATTAAGTACAAGTACCTCCTGTTACTACCAAGTACAGTACCGCCTGATGCCATTAAATACCTCCGAATTACCATCAAGTATCTCCTGATTATTATCAAGTACATTATCCTCTAATTATCACTCATTTTCTCACAAACTATTTTTTATGACAACATTTAATTTTCAAGAACAATAAAAATTTACTTTAATAAGTACTGAAATAATTACTTTTGCGGACAAAATAGAAAGTGAAATTTCAGCTGCAGCAGTAACAAGCGCGTGGCAGTACAACTGAAGTATTTTAAAATTGCTTTGTGTTAAGAGTAGACACCAGTGTGGCAGGCACAGGTTTTCCAGTTTCATCATCCCAGTGTCGTTGACAATGACGCAACATTTGATCAAAAAAGAAGATGGTGTTGGTAGATCTTCCGTATTAATGGGTAAATTGTTATTTTGATATGCTATTGTTGTGATAAGGAGCTGTGCTGATCCAAATAAATTTGTCTGTCTGGAGTCATTAATGCCAGATTCATGGACAATACACAAAGGCAGCGAATCGCCTGAATGGACCATCGTTAAATCTTTCATTAAGTTCGGCTATAAATTTCACTAAATATGGTACAAATGTTACCCTTCTCAAGTAGGCCTTGAGGGTGTCACCTTCTACGTTGCTATGGCGCGTTTGTTGTTCACGTCGCCGTCACTACTATTAATTTGTGTTGCTGTGCAACATTGAAAATTGCCAATCTGGGGATATATAGTTAAGTCTGACACCATGGTTCCAGTATTCTCTTGTATCTTGTGAACTTCAAAGAATTCAAAGTCTTTGGTGAACAAAATGTTACGTCATCAAACTGAAAATCATGGTAATATAGTAAATATATTAAGTCATTTTGAGAAAAAGATACACAAACGCCATTCAAACTTTTACTGAGTTTAAAAATAGTTGAGATTCGTGTTGATATTATATAATATGAAACCTTTGAAGACTTGAATCGTTCACAGGGATTCGAGTCAAATTGTTGTTTTTCGAACAGGAGTGAATTTCTGTCTTTCCGCTGAGAATAATCAACTTTGACGAAATTTACCAAAATTGATTTTATGGAATTTATAAGGAGCACACCCCCCCCCCCTCAGATTGTACTTTGTCAATTTATTCTTGGAGATGACGTATATCTCCACACACTCATCAGATGAATGAAACATACCACGAAAAAACAATCGGCGCTTTGAAAATTTTATTTAAAATTAATAACCCAATTTTACAACACGAGAAGCACAAGAGTAAGTTATTACAGCCATATCTCCCTAACTGAGTGGCGACAGTCTTTACCTTCGTTCCAGAGCTAAGTCTACAAGTATTTTCACTGCCGGATAATGAGCAAGGCTGCCCTTGGTTTTACTGCCTCAGAAACATCTGTACCGTCTCCGTTACTGTCAATGAGTCGCCACACATGGAATGTCTCTGCAGACTTGTTTTTATGTGCAATTCATTCTTGCTTGAAGGTAAAGTTTCCATCGTGTTGCTCAGAGATATTATCAACAGTGTCGCATCTCTTAACTTTTTTTTTATTTTTACTGTTATCCTTTTCGCCACCGATCGGCTCGTTAGCCGCTTGGGCGGTCGGTCATATCTTTGTTATGTACCGTTGGCAAGTACTGGGTATGAACTGGCTCCTTAATGTATCGAAACCTGCTCCAGTGCTAGTCAAGTCTGACCTTGAAAGAGCTCACACTCGGTGCTGCCACAACACTATGGTAGATAGTTTCAAGAGTTTTCCCGACTTGTGGCTTCTTCAGCCTTGAGTTGTGACCCTTTGTGGGGCGGGCGTCCGCCAGCTCCAGGTATGTATACATTTGACTGAGTAGTGCCCTTTGAGATGTTTATACACTTCGATTAGGTCGCCCCTTGCCCGTCTGTAGTATAAGCTAGGCAATTGCAGGTGTTCTAATCTCTCTGGGTACTTGAGGTGCCGTAGTGCAGGTACCAGTCTGGTGGCCCTCCTGTGGACACTTTCAATTAATTGACAGTCTCTAGCATATCTCGGGGACCAGACCAGGTGACAGTACTCCAGACGGGAAAGCACTTCACTCTTGAAGATCGTTACGAGGGAGGGACCGCCTAGATATCTGTACGACCTTTTTATATGACCTACTAGTTTTATTGCACGATTCACCTTCTTTTCACAAAGGCCCGAAAACTTAAGCTCATTGACAACATACACACCCAGGTCCTTTTCACATTCGGTCTCGAGTTGGTGATTTTTTAAGCAGTACATAGCTGGTGAAGCAGCCAGTCCGTCCACGAGCAGTCTTGTGTAATCGTGTGGTGTTTCGACTATTTTAGAAGACTGTCCCAAGGAGAGCGACTGTGTGTGTGTGTGTGTCCCAGTGTTACGAAAGTTCTAAAACATTAACTTGCCAGATGGTTCACCGTTCGTTACATGTAGACTTACAGTATATTTAAATATTTTATTCAGAAATATTAAAAGCTAAAATTTAGGTACCGTATACAATACAGGTACAACAATTCTCACGTGGTCAAACAATGATGGAGTTAGTGCCTTAATCTCAACATAAAGAGAAATTTAAGTGAAAACTACCTCAAACTACTCAATTTCACCTAGTAAGGTAATTACGGGTGTGATGGGCGAGTGGATACAACGTCCGCCTTCTGTTCTAAGAGTCCACCTACCTTTACAATTGGGGAAGCACGGTGTTGACCTCATTGCCTCCTTGTCTGCCCAAAGGCTTACTGTAAGTCTCCATCATGCTGTATTTACGCTCGTCAGACCAATAGGACCCACTTTAATAACATAATCAACCTACTCTCCAATCAATCTCCACAATACCCTTTAACTTAAACCTAGTAATATAATCAACCTGCTTCCTCATCAACTTCCTTAATACTCTTAAGACGTCATAATTTACAACTGCCACCTATGTACAAAATTCTGGGAGTTTCCACGGGGGTGTTGGTGTTCTGGCAGTCTTGTGTTTTGGCTTCAAATACTTGGCAGCAACCTTTATGCTAGCCATCATTTCACCTGTTCCTAAAGGTCTTCAACAGAAGCCGTAACACTCTGTCTCCATTTGTTTATATTCCCTGTTATCTGGCTTCAGTTGACTTGTTTATATGGGTAGCCTCAGTGTGTCCTACAACCAGTTAGTGTCCTCAGCTTAACCTAGCCAAAGTAAACCTAAACTAGCCTAGCCAAAACTAAACCAACCAATACCAAACCAAGCTAAACCTAACTTAGCCTAGTCTTCAAGGACTTTCTAGTTGTTGTTCTAGTTGTTTACTGGGCGATAAAAAACAAAAAAACAGTGGACTGGAGCCGCTAAGAAATTATGAACGACGAAGCCAACGGAGATGCAAAAAGTCCTCTGGCCGCTCAACAACGACATTCATGGGGTCTAAAGTCTGGATAATGATGGCTGACTGTGCGGATTATCAAAGCTGCTTAACATCCATACACTCATCCAAATATGTTGATATCCTTAGGTCCTAAGGACCTATAACACCTCTCTGTTATAAAACTCTACGAGAATGATGTAAAGTGCTTTCTTCTGTGAGTGTAACTCAGAGAAGCCAAAATAATAGCATGATTATTTTTTCTGGAATGCTTCGAACGTCTCCTTACTTTATTCTCCCAGAGTCCGCAACATAGATTAACGTGGTTAGCGACAACTGGAGGCTGCTTCAGGTGACGTTACACCATAATGGCGCTGTATCTTTGGCTTTAAGGTCAAAGGTCAAAGCTTTGAAATGGGTGCCACGAGCACCTCCCTCGAGTGTAGTCTAGTTTCACTGTAGTGAGGATTGTGACAGGGATAATATTATCATAACTCTTCATTATAAAGACAGGTTAAATATCAACTAAATGTGCTGAAAGAACTATAAATGTATTTGTTGACATGGATGCCGAGACCCTAATTTATCAAGGGGACAGGTGTGCATCTGTACATAAATGGCTTGACTGTCTTCCCCTCCCACGAAAGTCATGAGTTTCTCACAAGTGTGAGTCATATAGTTAATGATTTATGCTTGGAGATGATGCATACTGTACTCAGGTAAAGTGCAAATAATTTCAGGACAAAGTTTTGACTTTAACCACCAGAAGTGACCTTGACCTTGGACAGGTAACTGAATTTGACGTTGTGCAATTAGTTTAGTGTACTGTACTGTACCTGTATCCTCACAAGAAGGTTCACCTAACTATCTGCACTGATACTCTGGTCAATGTTTTGATCTTTGACCTTCCTGTGACATTGATCTTTGACGCAGGTTTAGTGACCAGCACCGTCCAGTGATGAAACACATCTTCGTAAAGTCTTATCAAAATATCTACAGTGATACAAGAGTTTTGCCTCAAGCATTTTAACCTTTGACCTTCAGGTGCGACCTTAACACTTATCGAGCCGGAATATCCAGACAAGATGAATAATGATAAAAGATGGTTTGACGGTCTTCCAAGTTTGAAGCTAACTCGATTTAAATTGTTGGACCAGTTACGTTAATAACATTTTCTAGAACTACGGACGGACAGGAGTAACATTACATGTCCCCTTTTGTGGATCTAAAAAAAAAAAGAGAGCAAAACTTTCAATGTTTAATTATGCAGTTTTATGTACAAACACAGAACATATGTTGTATAAATCTTAGATGAAGTAAGCGTACACCGTCCACAGCACTAACTGTTGTACATTCT